TTTAAGTAATTATTTTGAAGCTGCACAAACTGTGTAATTTTTTATTGATCAGAACATTCCCGGATTTCCTCGCTCTTCATCTGCATCTTAAGCCGCCTGTCTCTCCATGACTAGCCTTAATAACAGCGTAGTTTAAAAACTTGGAAGGTTCAATAATGGAGTTTGATCGTAACAATTGATGTGCCATTCGAAGGTGAAAGTGAGCTTTGTCCGTCTGGTTCTTACAAAAAATATATATGTTTCTTCGTAGAACATATTAGAAAATAACAGCAGATCTCTGAAATAGTCATTTAGTGAACCAATCGATGAATCTCCTCTCGAACAAGCAGTTTTGCCTGCCTTTCTGTTTAACTTCAAGTGTATGGTGTTTCCACGGGGGTCCGCATACAAAAATAGTTGCTTCGTTAGCACTTTCGTTCTTTCGACCGTCCTAAAATAGCATCGGCAATATTAAAATTGGATACTTCGTGGAACAGCTTCTGATTGGCTTATACATAAATACACACCTCCAACACGCCTTCGGATAGTCCTATAAAGTGAACGTCGTGCAATATTGTTTGCTTCGAGCAGTAAGCCTTATTGCCTACAAAAGAGCGAAATTAAGTTAATTCTGATGCCAAATACTTCGTTCCGCACTCGCCCGGTGTGTAGTCGACAACATTTTTGCCTCTTCCCTTACATTTTTCACCATAAAGCATGCTTTCGACATTGTTGATCCTAGCTAGCAATATGTATAACGTGTTTCGCATATGAGTCTAGTAAACAGTGAGTGTGGTCTATCTACGATTCAGATCAGAGTTAGAGTGCTCGCCCGGCGTTTCGAGCTAGGGGATGCACGACCCAACTGCTGACAACTGATTGCCTTTAGTCCGCACGATCATGATATCATAACAGCTGCAATTTCTCATTGTAGTCAAAATTTAACAGGGGCCAATTACATATACAGTAGAATTTTTAAGCAAAATCTTTCTGAATCTCTTGGTTTTGCACTTTAAAGACGAAACCCATTGCAAAACAACAAAATTAATAAGCGCTGAGAGTTTCTTTGCCGGCGAAGCGTTTTCGAATCACGTTCTGTTAAATGTTAAAAACGTAATAAACCTACCGATTGTTAATTCTTGTCCCACTAGCGGTACAAGGAGTACTTTGAAAATTCATACTTGCAAATCCTCTACTGTGTGGTAAAAGCAAAGCCAAAAATATAGCCTTTTCCTTTACTCTCTCTCTTCGAGAGCCACCCCAACTGCTCTAAAATTGTCCAAATGTCCAGACTATTAATTTTTAAAGCCTTTGCCCTTAATTGGACATAGCTTACCTCGCTAACCAATCAAAAAAGACACAGAGCGGCCGGCCGGCCGAAGCGTAGTTCTCTTTTGCTGTTTTTTTTGTCATTTACATGTCTATACTTTCAACCTTTGAACCAAGGGCATGTGATTCCTTAGTAGGATTACCAATCACATCGCCGCACTTGGGGTTTTCTTCCGGCATGCTTATGATGAAGAAAATGCAAGACGACGCCATCCGGACCGCCAGTTCATCCCGCTTTCATCCCGGTAACCGGGCTGAAGTGTCCACATGACTATCTAGGAAGATCGATCGGCCTCTGCTCGCAGGGTACCATATGACCCTTTCTGTCAACAAACCGTAGCACGCTAGTGTGCGAGGGTCTCTCGCTTTTCGTGCTTTGCCTCCCTCCGGCTGTTCATGAACGTCGTGCAACGTTTGTCGCTTCGATTAGTTGCAGGAGTGCTCTATGCAAAGTGAATTCGTAAATAAATAGCAATCTGACAATAAAAATCAAAGACGGATTCTTGAGTCAGTTCACATTGCACCTCAGGGCGCTCATCAGTCATCAGACGAAAAAAACAAACAAACGAGAGTATAGCGTGACCTGCTTGTCAAAAACAAAGACGTAGCAGATATAAGCGTTCTCTGATTGGTAACAGAAATACATATGACCCTTTCTGTCAACAAACCGTAGCACGCTAGTGTGCGAGGGTCTCTCGCTTTTCGTGCTTTGCCTCCCTCCGGCTGTTCATGAACGTCGTGCAACGTTTGTCGCTTCGATTAGTTGCAGGAGTGCTCTATGCAAAGTGAATGCGTAAATAAATAGCAATCTGACAATAAAAATCAAAGACGGATTCTTGAGTCAGTTCACATTGCACCTCAGGGCGCTCATCAGTCATCAGACGAAAAAAACAAACAAACGAGAGTATAGCGTGACCGACGTAGCAGATATAAGCGTTCTCTGATTGGTAACAGAAATACATAATCAAATTTCAAGAACAAAAAAAGCTTAACTACAAATGGGGTTCTTTGACTGAAGTTAAAACGTAGTTGTACAGTTAATGGAGTTCACTGGCAAACTAAAGAGAATCGACAGACGGCGTTTTTAATATTTTGTATGAGAAACGAAAGCGGGTTCCATGGCAGAATGTCCTGATGTCTTTCAGACCTGGTTCAGAGCGACACAACTTCCGCCATCGATTTGTTTAAAGCTGTAAATTTCTGTTGGTCATCCTTAGATTTCCGCAGGCGAAGGAAACTAATGGTGTACTTTATCAGGCCAAGATATTACCCAACATGGCACGGAATAGCTGGGCATTTTAATATTATAAAGTGAACTCTGTGAGAAACCGACTTGTGTGCATCTGCTTCGTCATAAAACCTACAGAACCTATCAGTTTAGTGGAAAATAACTTGCATCTGTCCATTTTGAAGTTACATCAGTTGAACTTGAATTAAACACGCTACTGGCGTGGGTGCGTTAAGCAAAACATGAAGCAAAGGAAAATTATTAATCAGTAGTCTACATTCAGATGATATGGACTGATATTTGGAGTTTTTTCACATTAACCGATCCACCTGGAAGAAATTACGAAAGCCATGCTTTGAAATACATCAGTGTAGACAAAGAACAGCTAAGAACGTTCAAGGTAAAGTTAACTTCAGTTTTATACAGACTTAAGCTGTTTTCTTTAGATCTGTTTCAGCACACAATTAAAATCAGTTAGCTTGAACAGAACATCATTCTTGGAAGCGGAGATGTAATTTCCTTAATTCAGCATCTCTTAAAATAAAATAAAAGAGTATCTTTAATTGATCATGTATTTTACTCCGCACCACTGAACTTGGTTTTATTTTATCACATTTTCATTCTAAAATGCAAATATCTTTTTGTTAACGACTCATTGGTAATAATCAAGTTTGTAAATACATGGGAAAAGCTATCAACTTATTATGGGGAGGCGAACGATCTTTTAAAGGTTATTAAATAGTGTTATTACTCGCGCTCGATACATTTTTCAGTGCTTGTTCTATTTGTGTTTGAATCACACGAAAACAGTCTGTACAGCTTACTTTAGTGAAAACCGTGACATGTCTATTTACGAATTTTGATTCGCAGTTTTTTAAACTAGGGAATTCATATTGGTTTGCACGTAAACAGCAGTTTATTATGCTGTCGTGACATATATCTCTGTAAATTAAACTGAGCCAGACAAATTGCAAAATCTTATTTTATCACTATTTTAAGCGATTCCTTAATTTAAGTTCTTGCTATCTTCTTTTTGCGTCTTTTAAGTGAATATTTTGCTGTAACTGGTTGCTTGTCTACATTGACTTGGTATTATTTTTATATATTCTCAGCTTAGCTAAGGCGAAAGGGATCTCTTACCCCAATATTTGCTCAAAATTAACTTTAAATGTTCATTTTATTTAGCATGCTTAGTGGTAGATATTTTAAAAAATAAACCTTAAAAATTCAACGATAATATGACCGATTATTTTTCTCTAGGACCTTTTTACAATGAATATGCGTATAAATTTTGGCGCCAACTTTTAAAAGGCGCGCGGTCGCGCGAGGAACAGGAAATTAATTTTTCTTTTTTTGACGGGGCATAGCAAGTATGCTGAGTTTGTGCTATATTCTTTGTATTTTTTGTCCAGAATTTGTTCTTACACTTTCAAATTACGAACTATTGTTCGTTCGTTTTCACAGTATATAAGGAGGGCATTTGTACTGGAATTTTTTATATTCCAGGTTTCATGTCTACTCACACCGAGAGATTACAATACCTTACGAGACGCTAAACGTTTTTCACCCTGACCCAACGCTTTAATTACTACGAAAGTTCTGTAGCCGAACATGTCCGGATCTGAAGCAACCAGACTTTCATCGACACTAAGCTTAGTATATTCACCGGCTCAAGTCTACTTTTCCACGTTCCACCTGAAACAAGCTACCCAACGTGTAGTTTTTCTACTTGGCTTTCGTCTTCTGTTTTTCTTGAGTCATTCGAATAAGAAGGAAAACATTTTCCCTATTTTGGGGCGATCTTTTTGTTTCGATTTTTTCGGTCGTAAAAAAATGATTTGGGCAACTTGCGAGAATATTTTGGGCAAATGGAAAGCCATTTCAGAATCTCTTTGTCAAGACTAAACACAACTAAACTCGCTAACACTGGAGTATTAAACTCCGCAATACAATGTTAATGAGCTGCACGTTCGGCTAAGGTATGATAAAACTGGTAAAAGCCTTGTAAACCTACCGATTGTTTAAAGTTGTCCCAGTAGAGATACAAGGAACGCTTTGGAAACTCATACTTGTAAATCCTCGAATGTAGGGGAAAAAATTGAAAACTGTAGCCTCTTACTCCTTTCGCTATAAATTGTCCGGGACGGTTCATAGTTTGAGTTTCCCTTGCATCTCTATTCAACTTATTTGTTGACTTTTTCATCTGATTGGCTGCGAGGCGGGCTAACTTTTTTTCTGATTGACTGCTAGCCTTACGATATGCCACCGGGTGTTGTTTACACGCTGAAATGCCAAAATACGAAGGGCCGCCCAAAAATAGATGATGCAACCTTCAGTTTGGCACTCGTCTCCAGTGTCTTCTCGTTATTGAAAATCGAGAAAACCCTGCAGACGAGGTTGAAATGAAAAGTTAATTGCAGTGCCGTTCCAAAAATTTGCCATTATGAGGCTAGACCGATTGCACATGTCGGTATTATTCTTATTTCTTCCTAATCGTAACGCCTTCGCCTCGATTAATAAGAGAATCGTGCTGGCACAACCCACTGTAATTTTGGTCTCGTACGATGGTTTCCGGTGGGACTACATGGAGAAACTGAGTTCATACTCCGAATTTGAATGTAATCGCAAGTAATGGCATCAAGCGAAACACCTTCTCAATACCTTTGTTACCAAGACATTCCCGAATCATTTCACGTTAGTTTCAGCACTTTATGAGGAAAGCCACGGGATCGTAGCAAATACGTTTTTTGATCCTATTTTCAACGACACTTTCTACTTAGATGCCGTGTCAAAGCATTACTTGGATTCAAAATGGTGGAACGGAGAACTGGTGTGGATCACGAATCAAAAAGCTTTTAAGAAAAGTGCTGTGGTGTTTTGGCCTGGTTCAGAAGTGAAAATAGAAGGCCAGTACCCTACACACTATTTACCTATGATCGGTCACTTTCCTTCGAGAAACGAATAGATTATTTATGTACAATGTTAGAGCAGGATGATCCTCCAAGCTTTTTGGCCGCTTATTTTAACGAGCCAGATCACAGTGGGCATAAATTAGGCCCTAATTCATCAGAGATTAAAAGTGTTGTTCGTAGAATGGATAATGTCACTGGATATCTGTTGGAAAGTTTACGAAATCGCGGATTTTTGAATCAGGTAAGAAGATCTAAGCTTAAATAATAACCAAATCAATCAGTTTACTGTGAAAAGTTGACATTAGCTGACGACAATTGTTTCATCAACAATTATGTACGCGATGATTACGTTTATTTAAGCTTGACTACACCTTTGGTGTGGCATCACGGAGCCCTTTCACTCCTTGCCATTGTGTGCTGCTGGTCTGTGTCACAAACAAAACTAAATCTAGCCTTGTGTTATGCATGCTGCAATCAACCAAAATAATGCACACCCCCCGGGGATTTGCAATATTTTTCTTTCTTGGAGGTCTATTTCCCACTCTCGGGCACGCAGAAAAAGACAATTCCCCACCCCCGAGGTTCTGATCGACCTTATATACGTTTTTTGCTACATCCGTTGATCCGTACAAAAGGAAATCGACACGTTTTCATAGCTTTTATGAACGTTTTCCTGAGTTTATTGAGAGAAGGATAATGGATGTCATAATGTAGTTAAAACATGAACACTAAATTTGAAAACAAAAACAAAGAAGAAAAAACTCCGTAAAAAGAGAACTCTTCATGAGAACATTGGACTGAATCTCTGTTTCTCTATATATATCAAGAGCCTTGTATTCATTTCCATATAAAAACTTATCATTATTTAAAGCTAAGCTAAAGAAATATTTCTGTCCTTCCTTTGCAGAAAATAATATCCATTCGAGCATGCACCATACGCACATTCGTAAAATCCATTTGAGTATGCATCATACGTACATTCGTTTCAAGTTTTAAAACATACCTTTAAATACAGACTTTAATTTTGAAAAGTTACTCCTCTCCAACCACTCTCTGACAAATTTCTGCTTTTTTCCTTAAAAATATGTAGTCTTGAGGTCCGCAGCCATTGTGTAAACCGTATGAGAAATAACACGTACTTCACAAAATCAAAGAGAAGATATTTTTTGATTCCCCCCCCCCCCACCCCCAGGACAGGACTGCCCGGGCCTGAAGGTGTGAACTAGTCCCGGGGGTTGCTGGAGGGGGGGAGGGGTTGAGGAGGATGGTAACAAGTAAAATTGAACCGTGCATTAAGTCTGTGCATGTCTGAGGACCGAAATTCTTGTTCAGGGTCCTCATGCAGCTGTGTATCAGGATTAGAGTTCATCACATGTGCTATGATTGGCCTGTAAAGAAGCCATTGTTGGATCAGCCAGTCTGATTGGTAATTTATTGAGTCCATTGTGGTTCCAGAACAACAGGGGCTCATTCAAACCAGCCTCACTGAACTAGGCACACTTGAATAAATATTCTTCAAAATAAAATAAAAATAAATAAACAAGGAAACCAGCTCTGCTTCACAGACCTCACTAGATGGGTTTAGATTACACCAGTGATACAGGATATTTTGTGCTTGACTAGATCATACCCAATGGCGAGGGTTATTCACTACTAAAGCCAATGATGATGCTACATCAGATGTCAACATGATGGATTTTATGTTCAGAATATCCCATTCATGACTCCCAGTGATTCTGTTACCTCTGCGTTGTGCATCTTTGATGCATAAAAATCCCCAAAGACGCAAAATAATTCATGGCATTTATCTTGTAGGACTCAAAGGTTGATCAGTTGATCTGAGGATGCTTTTGTATAATATCTTGTTCGTGTGGTTTCTGCGGCTGTTCTTGTGGCTACTTTTTAACAACGAATATTGGTTTGTCTTTCTTGTGCTTTACAATAAAACTCTGTATTACAGTTTCCTGAATTTAAAATACGAGACTGTATTTTAAATTCAGGAAACTGTAATACAGAGTTTTGGAGTCAGATTAACTGTCTGGTTACATAAAGTCCCAATTTAGAATTCTTTGTTTATTCAACTGGGACTCTTTGATTCTTGCTGGGACTCATGATTTTTTACAAGATGAGTCCCAGGGCCCACAACTATTTGTAACAAAATCACTGCACTCCTGGACATTTTGCTGAAAAACACCTTTTAGAGTTAGTCAATGGGCCATTTTCTGGGTGCTGTACTCCAAAAAGAAGCAAAACTAGATGGGTGCTCTCACCACTGTGCCACCCTTGCTTCCCAACTTTCATTTTAAAGACTGTTTAAATCTAGATGAGTTATAATATAATGGCTACAATAGTATGCATGCCCTGATTGGCTGCTAAGCAGGCATTAGTTTCTTGTAAATTTAGCTACGCATTACTAGCTGGTTGTCTAAAGCATATAAAATCTGTGCTAAACTTGATAGTAGAAATCCTTATAGCCTGAGTATTAGGCCTTCCCCCAGAAACACCTGATACTCAGGCTAACATCCTTCAGGGCATCCATGTAATAGTCAATTGACAGCTGTCAAATAGGGTATCCACTGACCAGTGTCACATGGCTGTATTGTGGGGTCAAGTTTACAACTCACTGAAGTGCAGACATGTTTTTTTTTACAGTTATCCAGCTGTTTGTTTTAATTGATTGCAGGCTCAGGTCCATAATGAAAAGGCCTTATAATAAATAACTTATTAACCTCGTCCATTCGGTCATTACAGGGAAATGTCTGACCTGCAGTCTGAGATTTCCCTGTAATGACCAACTGGACAAGGTTAATAAGTGGTAGTTATTGACTCTGGGGGGAAGTCAGTACTCCAGGATTAATTGGGCCTATTATTATGTTGAACTGCATTCAGCCTCAGGGCTCAAATTAAACTGACTTGTTTTTAGATAGAACAGGGCTACTATAGGTCTCACAGCCGGTAAAAGCATGCGGGTATCTAGCTTTCTTTGTAGTGCATGCAAATTTTCAAATTTGATTGTTGTTGTCAATGGTGGGTGATGCTTGTAACAGCCATTCACTCTGATGAAGGCCAGTAAAGTTGGTCAAAATAGGTGAAGGACGAAAAAAACATACTTTTTTGCTCTTCATTTGTGGTACTGGATTTATTCAATTATGAAGAGAATGTCTTTTAGTAAAGGCTTGTGATATGTTATATATATGGTAAGATGTAGTAACTCTTTACGTGTCCCATAATATTATTATAAGGTAACAACTGATGGATCTAAATGTATTTCCATTGTATTTTTATGACCCATTTTAGGTAAACCTGATTATCACAAGCGACCATGGCATGGCAGATGTCAACAACTCCCGTCTTATCCAGCTGGATCATTACATTCCATCAGACTGGTATACACTCATCACTGATCCAAACAGGGCAGACCATGCTTCTAATGTGTTTTTTCATATTCTACCCAAGAAAGGAAAGTTGAATGATACTTACCAAAAGCGCAAGACTGTTCCACATCTATATACATACCTTAAAGAAGAAATACCTGAAGAGTTTCATTACAGGCATAACCGACGTGTCATGCCAATTTTCATTTTGTCGCGGAAGAAGGATGGACCATTACAAAAAACAAGTTGAGAATTGACAGTTGTGGTAACCATGGCTACAGTAACCAATTCCCTGATATGCACCCCTTTTTTCTTGCCCAAGGACCCGCATTCAAAGAAGGCTTTGTTTCAGAACCATTTGAAAATGTGAATATATACTCTCTTATGTGTCATTTACTGGGCATTGAACCAGCGCCAAACAATGGCTCATTACAAGCAGTGCAGCATCTGCTAAAGGAACACAAATACAATTATACAGTGTTGATAGTACGTAGTCAGTGTAATTTCTGCTTTAGTTCTTTTGTTAATGAGTTATGGTATTGTCTCATTTTGTGTCAAAAATCATTGTAGAATAAGGCAGTATGGCCATATATATGACTTAGGAACATCAGAATTGTTTGATTTGTAGACAGTTCCATGTGAGTTAAGGGAGCTGTGTCACAATTTTCTAGTCCATTTTGCTAATATTGCAAATATTAAACGTCCTTGCTCAGAATGGAACTTAGCTTCTATGGCAAAATTACTGGTAAATTACAAAATTACAGCTTCAAGTTGAACTAAATATGTCTCCCGGTCAAGAATTATTATGTTACAGACAACAAATCATTTGAAAAACTGTTCAGTTTTGAGCTGTTATTTTGATGTCTCACTCAATTAATTGTTAATTATTATTTTATTGCTGATTGGCCAGAAAAAATCAGAAGCAGGCAATTCAAACGCTTCTGGAACTGGTTCGGTAAGAGTAAGTGCCCAGGGCTCTTCTTGATCTTATAGTAAACTTTCACTGCGAACGTTCTCTCGTCCCGACTACCTGCCCTTGGGTCTCAGAAGATGACTTATTGACGGACTCAAGCAAAACTAACTACGAAAGAATGACTGGACAACCAATAATTTGACCAACAAATAAACGACTGTTTAACTGTGACAAATAGACTGATCGAAACGCACCAATGACATTACGAGTCTTCATAGCCAATAACATCACAGCTCAACAGACAGACGACCAATAACATCGCGACTTAATTGACCCGATCTGGTCAATGACTAGAGGTGACTTGATACAACTCACTTTGACTCTGAAGATGACTACCGCACAGGTTGTCGAAACGTGCAGTCACTGTAAATAACAACAGTCTAATTCAGGACTTCGTTCACCCGGACGATCATACTCAACTTACTTATCAAATAACTCCTGGGTTCCAACCTTTAACAAAAAAGACATTGTTTAATTGGTCAATCCATCAGGTTAAAGAGAAATAAGATTCACACTTCCAGTATTTTCCGTTGTGGGGCCAGAACAAGGATCTCGGCACAAAGGAAACTGTCCTCGGTTGCAAATAGTCCAAATACGAACAGTTCTAATAAACAACAGTCATATGTAACGTTTTACCTTTGCTTTATTGAAAACCACTAGAACAACATTGCTCACTGACTGCTATAATAGTTATTTACTGAGCATTTTTTAACTGCTTAAGTTAACAATTTTGCCTTTTTTGCTTCTTTGTCATTTGACTTTTTTGACATTATTTTTTACTAAAACCTCCTTTTTCTCTTCCTCTAAGATCTCTAATAGTTGTAGGGATGGCGAATGAGGTAAATTTATAACTACTTAGCTGACGGCATGTCAGCTCTAATTGATTACTTTAAAAATCGAGATGATCTCCACGTAACACTGACTACCAAGTTCAAAGATAGTAAAAACCAGACCTTACGTACAATAACAAGGATTCATTTGCCACCCCGTTTTTGGAAATATACACTATGACTACTTTGCAAAAGAATGATTACTAACAATATTAATAAGTCAAATCAGACTAGACAGCCCATCAAGTTAGGGCTAAAAGAAAAATTTCCTTACACGGTAAGGTGTATGCAAACATTAAATAGGTCTCTCATGGCGATGCTGTTGCAAGAAAATAGTACACACGCCTTTAAGTATATGTATGTGAAGTATCGAACTGCGCCTTTTTTTTACGTTGTCACCTAGGACCTCAGTATCAATACCTCGGACTTTGCCTTGCCCCGGTAAATGCATGTAACTCTCATCTCCAGACAGTAAGTGTTACTTTTTCCTTTTACCCTCCTCATCTGTACCCCTCTTTACCACCCTCGATTCTTGAGCACAGGTGGGCGGGTGAGAGCAATCATAATTTTAGACAGTCATGCAGCATTTTTTACGACATCGATTTTATACGAAATAATTTCGAAGAATAATGAATATCCGAGATCCAATTGTTCCTCTTGCACCCGCGGCCCGAGACACAGTCGAAGATGGTTCGATCCATCTTTATATATTTCCATTCGGAAAGGAAAGCAGCGTATCTAAGGCAAGCTATAGACTGCCTGGGTATACCAAAAACAGTAATAAAAATAATAAGGCGATTACGTATCAAAACTACACCCAGAGCGTTTCACTGGCTATTCAGTTTTGCTTAGTGTTCGCGACTAGACTCTCAAAGCTGGACAATGGTGTGACATGGCTCTTGGGTGTGATCAAAACATACTGAGCAAATGGTTTTAAACCAAAAGAACAAGATGAGCTCCGAGCTCGTTCACCACATTAGAGTGCAAAATATAAAAATAATGGAAATTTTAAAAGTATATATGAGCTGACTATATTGGTTGGGTAAAATTCAAGCCTATTCCTGGTAGAGGTTAGAAATGATGTCAGTGTAAAAACTAAAAACCTAACTGACTGATAGAACTAGCTTTTATTACTTTTGTCTCCTACTGGATTTTGGACTAAGACTGGAAATCATTGCAACGTTTATAGTATTTTTTTAGCTATTTTTTTTATTCTATTTTTGAAAAACTTCCTGGCATTAAATTTTCCCTGTACAAAAAGCTTAGGGGATTTTATCAACTTCCACTTTAATCATTACCGAGTCTTCCCTTGAGTATCGCTGAGTACAAACCATTTCGATGGGTGCAAACTTTGCGAAGCCGTAAAGGGTGCCGTTTTCTCCGGCAATTGGCTTCTGAAAAGCTTTCTGATTACCTTTGGTAGCAAAAGTACCAGTGATGTGGTTGTGGAAACCGTCGGCAACATCGCTTTGATCCAGTATGGTGAAAGAGAAGCTTCCCATGAAGGGCCAGGGAAGGATATTATCAAACTTGCCCCGCTTTGTGCGAACAAACAGACTGATGTGCTCCCTGTCCCCACCGTTCACGCCCAGTGGAAAAATGATTAAGGAAAACTGGTATCCAAATGGACCAGTGGAAAATGGAAGACTCTCGTATGACCACCCCACCACATCCCTCGCATTCTGGAGGAGCTTGGAGAAGTTCTCCACTTTGAGGGTGTACTTTCCGCCACAGAATTGTGCCAATAGAGCTTCCATAAGTTTAGGTGAAGCTGGCCTGAAATTGTAGAGCAGATCATCGATATCACTTAGTAGTGGCTGACATTCAGGTCAAAGTTCTAGCATATAATATTTATTTCTCGTCCTGTGATAAAAACACTGCTTTACCTTGACTTGCTAAGAGGATTTCCTACTTTGAAGCTCTCTGGTATCTCCACCTTTACTTTGATCGTAAGTCTAACATATAGCATGGATAACTGCGTATAGATCAATCTACAATACAGCATAAAATTTTTGGCGATCGGAGTAAATGTCACGTGGTTATAGTGCCACGCCTCTTTGGGGTCTGAGTCGAAATTCTGTTGTTGCCGGCATTTTTGCGCGAAAATCTCTCGGCTACATATAGTGCGCATTAGTGCCTTGCGTTGAACAGAGTTTCACCAAAATAGCTTAGACCTAATGAGAGAAATTTAGCGGTTTCCAAATTTAGGTCATAATTTATGTGAAAATGATAAGCAAACTTTACACGATTATATCTAATAAACTATAAGATTTATCCCTTTATTTTGGGGATCTTTATTATAACAGATGGGTCCTTGCAAGTCAGCAAAAGGCTTTAGGGCCTTGTAAATGCGCGCAATTTCGAGCAATGCAAACATATTTAAATTATAGTTTTAACTATTTGTTGACGTTTGTCAGCGTTTAAGAGTCCTTCTCACGAAAAAAGCATTTTCTTAAAAATTCTTAGTTTTTTTTCCTTCAGATGTTTTCAGAGCCACAATTGATTAACTAACTACCCGGATTCTGAATTTCATGGACATTGAAAAATTGTGACATTGCCTTCTATGAGCCCAAACTTGAGTAAACATTAAAGATTTTTAGCGTTTTGTCTGAGTTTGCCAGTGCTTCGGGAGTTTTCTATAATCTGTCATGATACAGCATTCTTGTTCAGCGCGCGTGCAATGACCGCGCTTGGCTGACTTCCGAATGCTCACCGAGATATCATTGATAATTTTGGTACTGTGAGTAGCATTTCTTGACTTTTTTACAAAGGCACAAGAAGCACGAGAATTAATTAAAAATCGTGAGTTAAACCTCCATGAATCACGCGATCGCCTGTCTCACCGTACCAAAATTATAGAAGGTAATGTTACAGTTTTTCAATGACCATGAAATTCAGAATCCGAGTAGTTAGTTAATTAATTGTGGCCATGAAAAAATCTGAAGGAAAAAAACACGAATTTTTAAGAAAATGCTTTTTTCGTGAGAAGGACTCTTAAACGCTTACAAATGTCAACAAATAGCGAAAACTATAATTTCTATATGTTTGTATTGCTCGAAATCGCGCGCATTTACAAGGCCCTAAAGCTTTTTGCTGACTTGCAAGGACCCATCTGTTATAAAGATCCCCAAAATAAAGGGATAAATCTCATAGTTGATTAGACATAATCGTGTAAAGTTCGCTAATCATTTTCAAATAAATTATGACCTAAATTTGGAAACCGCTGATTTCTCTCATTGGGTCTTAGCGATTTTGGTGAAACTCTATTCAACGCAAGGCACTAATGCGCACTGTATGTAGCCGAGAGATTTTCACGGAAAAATGCCGGCAACAGCAGAATTTCGTCTCAGACCCCAAAGAGGCGTGGCACTATAACCACGTGACATTTACTCCGATCGCCAACGGCATCGCCAACTATATGCAGTTGTCCATGCTATATGTTAGACTTACGATCAATGTAAAGGTGGGGATACCAGAGAGCTTCAAAGTAGGATGGTACCCTTACCCAATAACTGGGTCGAGTCACGTTAATGTGGAATGCATTTCTGCTAATAGCCGTATTTGACACTTTTTACCTAAAACACTTATACGCTTGCACCAAGAATCGAGACCTATGGCCACCCTCGTGACTATAAAAACTTTAATGCCAGTGGTCTCTGTGAGTTTAGGATCACCAAAATACTCACTGATTGAAAGTCGATTTATATACATTGCAGTCTGCATACAAGAAAATTTAATTTAATGTCATCCATTCATGATCATTTAAACATTGAGGCAGTCTACCTTTTTACAAAACGTCTATACCGAGGTGCCCCTGTTCGTTATCTTATACATGAAAAAAGTTGCTGACTTGTAATCGCAATGGTGGAATAAGAGTACCGTTACTTAAAAGCACCATTAATTCCTAAAGTTCTCGCAGTCTCGCAGTCTATTTCAGTAGAAAGTATTTCTGAGACCTCAACTGTTTTGTCCAAAATCTATGTTTCTTAAAATTGAGTTCAAACACATTAAAAAAACGAAAGGAAAAAAAAGAGAAAGGAAGACTGCTAATGGGTGCAGCAGATAGGACCAAAGAAATTCCTACCAGTACAATTCCTCGACTACTACTAACTGAGTATACTTGAAATGTTATAATGGTGAAAGTACTGCAGATTATGACACTTGCCTGTTTAAAATCTCATGCTGTTGTAACGGAAATTCAGGCATGTCAGGATGCTCAACTGGAAGTCTTTCAACGTTGTTTGCTGCCTCAGGAGGATACCCAGCTCCATTGGCCAACACAGATGCTCCTGCCTCTACTTGTCTATAACTCAGTTGATTTGCTGAGGGCACAGTCACTGGAAGGTATCCTTCATTGGCTTGCTCACGTACAGGGCTAAAAGGCACTGACTGCAGCAGGGGTTGCAACGGAACCTCCAACTCCATTAGCTGATTAGGCGTATATGGTGGTACGTAAAAGACAGGGTCTAAATTGTCTTCACCTCCATTAGCCTGCCCTTCCATTCGCTCTCTCAGGTCAATTTCTCTACTTTCTTGACCCACCACTTCCTACAAGTTTAACATTACATAAATATTTCACAATTAGTTACCAATGATTATAAGCTGTCTAAATGTAAATTTTTTTAAAGATAATGAACCATTGCGTGTATGATAATAATTGCATATTAATCTACATTAGAGAAACAAATATCCATATCAACTACCTCTGGCAAACGTATCTACCTACCTCTTGTTCTGTTGGCTGCAGCCTTTCCTCTGGGTGTTGCTGAGCTCCATTGCTTTCCAGGAATCCTCTGAGAAATCAAAAGAAAACAAATGAGCATTGACTTGTAAATAATAGTTGGTGCACTATGATATTTTGATACTGCCGTCCAGATACTAATACAAATTACGCATTTATTGCATTGTCACGTTAACATTTTGATTCAAAACATAATTCAAGCTTTTTGTATATTTTATCTCTATTTATTATTTATGATTGGATTTTTACCATTATGGGAGACAGTGACCATGAACTCAGCACAGTAAACATGTTGTACTCCCTAAAAAAAATTGTCATATTACTCCCCTACCTCCCCATAACGGCCACCTCTCTACAATGGTCACTTTCTTCTGTCCCCAAGGTGGCCGTTTTGGACAGGTTTGACCTGTAGATCGCGGCCTGACGTGGTAGTAAAAGACCAATACATATTCATAAATTGGGCATATGGAGGGTACAGCTTATATTGCTTGCAAAAGTGGTCCGTGTGTTGCTTGTATAAGCGTTTATAAGATAGTCTTTTTAAATCTGACGGAATATTCATGATTTTTGATGCAACAAAAGAAAAAGTAATAAAAGAGATAAAAATCGTCAACAACTCTTGAATGGAACACAGCGACGGAATCAGCACATACGGAAACAGGAGACAAAGCGTTCCAAGCGGGAACAGTTCTTACGAAAAAAGAATATTTTTTTTGTGCGCGTTAATGGTTGATGAGTAACGCTGGAAATGGAATGGGTGCTTTGCACTACTCTCGGGTCAAGTATGGACAGTGCACCTCGCGTAGGTCGTTTGGGAAAGATATCCGTACATTTCCTATCTCTATCTTAAAAAACATTGTCAAATCGGCGATCTTCCTACGTGTCTCAAGATCTTGCCGACCCAAGTTCGATAACATTGTATTTAAGCTACTGGAACGACAGTAATCGTTACAAACAAAGCGCGCCGCACGACGCTGAATGGATTCAACACAGATAATGTCCTTTTGTGTATATGGACTCCAGGCGACCGACTCCAGGCGACCGAGCCGTACTCGGTTATGAAGGACGATCGCTCAGACAGGGGTAAAATGGCAAGAAAATAATTTGGCTTTCCGCACGAGAAAAACACAGAAAACAGAAGAATGCAAGTTGAGACAAAACAACTTAAGAGCATCAGGTTGACAAAGGTTTCGTCAAAAAACACCGCAAGACTCAGCAATTAAAAATGGCACGAAAACGTTGTCGCCATGCGCCGCCTAAGAGCAGAATCTCTTCAAGTTAGGTGTTTGGCACAATTGGATACTTCGTTGTATAGCTTCTGATTGGCTTATACATACGTATACACCCCCCATAACGCCCCCAGAAATGCTTTCTTTTGATGGACTGAAAGGCTACAAAAAAAATTGAAATGTTATCCCAAGATTTGGAGTCAAATTAATTTTTTGACTCGAAAACCACCAACATCAACTCCCGGCTCTTTGTGTTGGCCGGCAAACAAAGCCTTACGGGAGCCATTTGGACCCTTTCCGTTAGACTACGACTTGAAGTCCTCATTTTTCTCAGGGATAGTTTTCACGGAGGGTGATTTTCAAGCGCGCTCGCGTTTAGCTCGCTCTACTATCCCTGAGGAAAAATGGGGATTACTCGTAGTCTACCTTTCCGTTAACAGAACAATGTTTTGTCGGTCGTAACACGCCAATGCGTGAGGGCCTCTCGCGTTTCGTGCTTTCGTTGTGTTCATCCAGCCATTCATCGTGCAATATTTGTTGTTTCGATTAGTTACAAAAGTGCTCCGTGCAAAGTGAATACGTGAATAATAAAAAATCTATTCGTAGATAATGAAGACAGATTCTTGAGTTAGTTGACAATGCACTCAGGGCACTAATCAGACAGAACGCCTGACGAAACAAACTGAAGCGAGAAGTATAGCGTGACCTGCTTGTCAAAAATAATGACGTAGGAGATAAAAGCGTTCGCTGATTGGTAACAGAAGTACATTAATTAAAATTCATACATTCCAAGAAGACACACGATTTCAAGAACAACAAAGCTAAACTACATGCAAACGGATTCTTTGAAGTTAAAACGTAGTTGTGGAGTTAAGTGGAGTTCACTAAGAATCTAAAGAGAATCGATAGACGACACTTTTAATATTTTGTGTGAGAAACGAAAGCGGGTTGCATGACAGAGTGTCCTGATGTCTTTCAGAGCAACACAGTTTACTTCCGCCATTGATTTGTTGAAAGCTGTAAATGTCGGTTATCCTTGGATTTCTGATGCGAAGGAAAAAAATGATGTACTTTATCAGGCCAAGAAATTACCCAACATGGCAAGGAATTGCAGAGCATTTTACTATTATAACTGGTAAACTCGGTGAGAAACCGACTTGTGTGCATCTGCTTCGTCACAAAACCTACAAAACCTATTGAGTGGAACTTGCATCTGTCCATTTTGAAGCTGCATTGCATGAAACGTGCTACTCGCGTGAGTGAGTTAAGCTCAATATGTAGCACAGGGAAAATAGTCTATATCCAGATTATACGGACTGATCTTTGGAGTTTTAAGGCACATTAACCGGTCCACCCATAAGGAATAACGACAGCTATGCTTGAAATTCATGTAAACAAAGCGCGGGCAATTCGGCAAGTCGGGCAAGGTAAAGTTAATTTTAATTTTACGCAGACTTAAACGTTTCACTTTAATTTTGATCTCATTCAGTACAGCTAAAATCAGTTATCTTGAGTCGGACATCATTCTTAGCAGCGGAGATGTATTTCACTTAACTTCAGTAGTATCTCTTGAAGTTGTCTTCACTCCGCTACATTGTCGTGATTGAACTTGGTTTTGCTTTTTCGTATCTTTAACCAAGTACAAATGCCTTGTTGGTAACCATCAAGTTTGTAAATACATATGAAAAAGCTATTAACTTTAAAATATCATGGTGAGGCGAACTAACCTTTACTACTTTGTAATAGCAAGGTAAATTTTACAAGGCAGATTTACAGCTGTTATAGACGGCTTATTTTTCTCCGATTCTTTAATTCTGATAAAGTTAAAATAGTCTCATTTTAATTCACAAACGCGTTTTTGGCCCTGCCGTTCATGGATTACCAGCTTTTTTCCCCATTTTGTTAAAACTTTGTTTTATCTGATCTTGAGCAGAAATTAAAAGTCAGGAAAGCGCATTCACAATATGAACTAAGTGTTTCTACTCGATACATGGCTTGGTTGTTACATCTTGTTCTTTTTGTGTTTAAGTCAGGCACGTAAACACTTTGTACAGCTCATTTTAATGAATACCGTGATTCTTATACTGATATGCTCGTAAACAACAGTCTACTAAACTGTCATGACACATATCTTTGTAACGCAGAATTACTAAGCTAGCGAATTCTTATTTTATCACTATGTTAAGCGATTCCTCGATTTCTTGCTATCATTTTGCTTCCTCCAGAGTATGGCAGAGGTCGACGAGATGTCGCGCGTGCAAGGCCGTTTTTAGGCCCTTATTACACTGTTATTACTTATATATTGTTAAAAAAAATCTCGCGCGTGCACCTGCCATACTCTGCTGACTAGCCTCCATAACCAGCCGGAACCTAGGCAACCGAATATTTTGCTGTTGGTTGCTTTTGCAGAAGTAAACGCTAGATGTTCATGTTTCTTAGTGGAAGATATTAAAAATAAACAGTAAACCTTGAAAATTCAATTGATAAACCGATTTACTTCCTCACAAACGTTGAAACGCTGAAATGATGGTGTTTCCATGGGCGTCCGCATATAAGAATTTCTGAGTACAATTCAATAAGAGTTCAACTGATAAGCGCGAATGCAAAAGTTTTTCGGCAAATAATCGGTCTTTCCCTGCATCTCTGTAGAGGCAGTTAAACCTAATTGCGTACAAAAGGGTTCTGATAAGTTTACACTGATGGTCTTTCTTCACTCCTCGCTCGCCAGAGTACGATGTGCGTCAGGAAGAAATCGAAACAACTTTTTTTACGGTGTCAAGTCTTCAGCAGCTCTCCAGGAGCTCCAGGTTATTTAGTAGCTGATTTTACACCAGACGGAAATAAACAATTAAATGAAACATTACCCGCCTTTAAGTTAATTTCTTAGGTTTTGTAGGACTCTTATTACTTTTATTTCCCAGCAACATGTATGCACAACTCTCACAACATTTTTGCCTTGTCCCTCTTGTCACGTTTTATCACCACTGTTGTACCCTTTTAGATAGATAGATAGATAATCTTTATTTATCCACGGTACAAAATTCGTCAGCTTTAAAAATGCCTAATACTAATATAATAAAAATATTTAAATAAAAAAGCTGCTTTCCACGAATGCCGTGCCTTACAGTTCTTTGAGTAATCGTTTAAATTGCCCAAGGGACTCTGCTTCCCTTAAGTTACAAGGAAGGCGCGCCACTGTTGACAAAGCTTGAATTGTAATAGTTTGTGCGCGGTAATGGAACATTGAGTTTATTTTCAGAGTCCCTTAGTCCCCGAGTCCCTTTGACATGGTTGATCCTACTAATCTGAAGGATGCGAGTCATATACGATTCTAGTAAAGAGTGGGTATGTTCCCTCTATATTCTACGAGTCTCTGAGACTCAGGGGATAGAGCCATGTTGCTTGTTCGGCGTGCAGAAGGCACCCGGGTACTTTATAGTCGACATGGAATTTTTGCATACTTATTAATTATCGTAAATAAATTTGATTTTGGTCAAAATTTAACAGTGCAGTCGAATTTCTAAGCAAAGCCATTTCAAGATCTCTTAGTTTCGCTCTTTGAAGAAGCGGGATATCAATCAGTCGATGGCAATTTTCGCAGTGCTCCCCCATCACTCCGGCTTTGGGGCTCAAGTTGGTGGTAAAAGTGTATAAATTAAACCTACCGGTTGTTAATTGTTGTCCCAGTAGTGGCACAAAGAATACTACTTTGAAAACTCATACTAGAAAGAGTCCTCTACTCTATTGTGCAAGAAGTGTATTAGCCTTGTGCTCAGCTTCACTTCCCTATGATGGTCAAACACCAACCCGCGGAGACTTTGATGTTCACGCTTTTTATACTCAGCAGCAGTGACTCCCCTCCTCCCCTCCTTCCCTCTCACTTCCCAAAAGTACGAAAATAACCAATCATAACACTGTTGTAAGGATCGAGCAAGGATCGCTGCTTCTGATTGGCTTGCTAAATATACATGACGCATATGCGATGGTGTTGCCATGGTGTTCGTGTCCGGCTGAATCACGGCGTGACTTCACGTGAACTGTATTTTACTGTCGGCCAATGGACTGGCAAAATTTGTTCGGTATAACGAGGTTTCGTTATATTGAGGTTCTTTTTCACATATTTTACCATCACTAGGATAAAGAAAATCGTTCGTAATACCTAGGACTTCTTTATATATCGAGATTCCACTGCAATACAGTCTGTACAGCGACGAATGGTGTGGTACAGAGTGGCGAGGTATTCAGTTGCTCCGTCGGCTTAACTGCCAGAATACCCTGCCACTTATTTGCATGTCATTGAATAAGAATAGCATCTATTGTGTTATGCTTCGTTCTTCAAAGAACGCCGACCAACGAAAACAATGGTGCCGTCGCCTTGATTAATAAGATAATCGTTCTGGCACAACCCACTGTAATTTTGGTCTCGTACGATGGTTTCCGGCTGGGACTACGTGAAGAAAGTTCATACTCCAAATTTGAATTTTATCGAAAGTATAGTAATGGCATCAAAGCGAAACACCTTCTCAATACTTTTGTTACCAAGAGATTTCCGAATCATTTCACGTTAGTTACAGGACTCTATGAGGAAAGCCACGGGATCGCGGCAAATACGTTCTTCGATCCTGTTTTCAACGACACTTTCTACTTAGATGCCGTGTCAAAGCATTACGGAGCGCCGGTGTGGATCACGAATCAAAAAGCTTTTAAGAAAAGTGCTGTGGTGTTTTGGCCTGGTTCAGAAGTGAAAATAGAAGGCCAACACCCTACACACTATTTACCCTATGATCGGTCACTTTCCTTCGAGAAACGAATAGATTATTTATGTACAATGTTAGAGCTGGATGATCCTCCAAGCTTTTTGGCTGCTTATTTTAACGAGCCAGGTCACAGTGGGCATAAATTTGGCCCTAATTCACCAGAGATTAAATGTATTTACATTCGGCGGAGCTAAACGTAGTGGCAGTGACAGAGAATATTAATACTTTCCTATTGGTATGAACGCACGTGAGCCGTTATGGCGTTAATTGACTCTATTGTTGTAAGGTATATACGGTTTTGACAGTTGTAATGTATTCATCTCAGCTCTCGAACTATCAAATTTTATTTTTATATCTTACTTTATTCATCTATCGATTGACTTTTTACCTTTAACCCCCAGAGGTTGTGCGACCGCATCGGTTGGGGAATATGTTCCCAATTTTTTCCCATTGGGTTTTTTGGGTTTTCGTATCAGGCGGCGCACGTGAATAGTTAAGCCTGAGTGACTTTATTTAGGATTATTTGTATACCATTCTTTAGTTATGATGTTGAAATTTGTATGTTATTTGGACGGCATTAAACACTCAGGCTCCATAGTTCGAGCTGCACACCCATTCCCGTCTCTTAGTCGTGAATATAAATAGGAAAAGTGTCACTGGATATCTGTTGGAAAGTTTACGAAATCGCGGATTGTTGAATTAGGTAAGAAGATCTAATCTTATTAACAGGGACCGCGCAGAGGGAGGGGCTGGGGGGGCTTTAGCCCCCCCACTTTTTTGCAAGAATAAAAATAAATTAAACAAAAAATAATTTAACAAAAGTAACGGAGTGAAAAATAGCAAAAAATCGTTAATTCGAAAGTGACCAGAGTTATTGGCAAAGACAAACGCGCAGATAAATAGACACCATTTTGTTTTGCCGTGTAAATATTTTGAATAAATAATTAAACAATTATTGAACTCGGCTTTCGTATGATATGAAGATATACAGATCTCGGAGGGTGTTATCCACCGGGCTCAAGCCTTCGGCTTTGGCGGATAACCCCATCGATCTGCATAACTCTTCATATCATACTCAGCCTCGTGCAATAATTGCTCAGTACTTATACAGCCTTGAGTTTAAGGCAGCTCAAGCAAAATCGTTGGATTTCTGGCTTATTTATAGAGGGTCGTGAAGGGGGGTACCAAATCCCAGTTCCCAGCCTAAATTTGGCCCAAATCCCAGTTCCCAGGCTAATTTTTGCCAAAATCCCAGTTACCAAATTTTCGGTGTGTATAACGGCGTTATTTGCATTGACGTACTTGATTTCTAGTACCATTTTGCGAAAAACCTTTTCCGAAGCCATTTTTATTTTCCCTTCACAACATCTTCCCGCCATATGCAAACTTGCAGAACTTGTCCGCTGACCAGGAAAACTGACAGAACGTAACTATGCAACCGTGTAAGCCTGGTAGCGAGACCGCGGGCGCGAAGGCAAAAAATACTGATTTCACGGTCTCTACTGAGGAGTGCAAGGTCTATTGCTACGAAATTTTATATTTCTATTTCAAAATATTGGAGCAAAGACCGCTGAAGAAAAGAAATCCCATTCCCATTTTATAATTGTTCATCCCATTCCCAGTGGCTAAATCCCAGTCCCAGTGAGTAAATCCCATTTTCCCAGTCCACAATAAGGCTAATCCCAGTTCGCATTTTACCCCTTCACGACCCTCTTTATAGTAATTAAAGGTTGATATCAGTAGTATAACATAACAATCTATGATATTTCAATTCAGTGATGGTGAATTTTCAGACCCGATAGCAACATCACTGAAGATGTGGAAAAAAATCAATAGTTTTATCGTTATTCGCATTCTCCGTCACTTTAGAGAAATTGAATAGAAATCCACAAGCATGCCCCCCCCGCCCCCCCCCCAAAAATTTTCGTTCACGCATTCTTCTTTAGCCCCCCCACTCGAAAACTTGCTGCGCGGTCCCTGATTAATAACAACCAAATCAATCTGTTTACTGTGAAAAGTTGACATCAGCTGACGACGATTGTTTCATCAACAATTATGTACGCGATGATTAAGTTTATTTAAGCTTGACTAGACTATCGGTGTGTCAACCATCACGGAGCCCTTCCACTCCTTGCCGTTGTGCACTGCTGGCCTGTGTCATAAACAAAACTAAATCTCTGGTTCAGTCTGTCTGCATGTCTTTTGTTCTGGCTGACCCCGCTGTGTATCAGGATTGGAGTTCATCGCATGTGCTATGATTGACGCGTAAAGAAGCCATTATTGGATCAGCCAATCTGGTTGGTAATTTGTTGAGTCCATTGTGGTTCCAGAAGAAGGATCCCAGCACTGCTTCACAGACCTCACTAACTGGATTTAGAATACATCAGTGATCCAGGATACTTTGTGCATGACCAGATAATACCCAATGCCTAGGGTCATTAACTACTAGAGCCAATGGTGATGCTCCATCAGATGTCAACATGATGGATTTTTTGTTCAGAATATCCCATTCACACTCCCAGTGATTCTGTTACCTCTGGGTTGTGCATCTTTGATGCATAAAAATCCCTTGGAAAGATGCAAAATAATTTGTGGCGTGCGTCTTGTGGGATTCAAATAATTAAGGTAGATTGTTTGATCTGAGGATGCTTTTGTAGAATATCCTGTTCGTGTGATTTCTGTGGCTGTTTTGTTGCTTCTTTTTAACAATGAATATTGTTTTGTCTTTGTTATGCTTTACAATAGAAGGAGTGTATTTTTAATTTAGTAAACCGACTACAGAGTTTTGGAGTCAGATTAACTGTCTGATTACATTACGGCCCAATTTAGAATTCTTTGTTTTTTCAACTGGGACTCATTGGTTCTGGACTAAGACTCATGATTTTTCACAAGATGAGTCCCAGGACTCACCATAACTCATAACTTTTGTAACAAAATCACTACACTCCTGGAAATTTTGCTGAAAAACATCTTTTAGAGCTAGTAAGTTGAGCCATTTTCTGGTTGCTTTCCTCCAAAAAGGAGCAAAACTAGGTGGGTGCTCTCAGCACTGTGCCACCCTTGCTTCCCAACTTTCCCTTTAAAGACTGTTTAAATCTAGATGAATTTTAATGTATAATAACTATAATAGTACGCATGCTCTCTCATTATTTTCTCTTAATGTCTGTGCATTACTAGCTGGCTGTCCAAGGGATATTAAATCTGTGCTTAACTTGATAGTGGAAATCCTTATAGCTTGGGTATTACGCTCCCGCAGAAACGCCTGATACTCAGGCTAATATCCTTATGGACATCCTTGTAATAGTCAATTGACAGCTGTCAAATAGGGTATCCACTGACCAGTGTCACATGACTGTATTGCTAGGTCAAGTGTACAACTCATTGCAGTGACATGTATTTTTTTTAAGTTATCTATCTGTTGATTTTGATTGCAGGCTCAGGTCCCTAATAAAAAGGCCTTATAATAAATAACTTATTTTCATCCCTTTGGTCAATACAGGAAAATGTCTGACCTTAGTCTGAGATTTCCCTGTAATGACCGAATGGACAGGGTTAATAAGTGGTAGTTATTGACTTTGGGGGGAAGTCAGCACTCCAGCATGCGTGCTTCTAGCTTTCTTTGAAGTGCATGCAACTTTTCAAATTTGTGTGTTGTTGTCAATGGTTTGTGATGCTTGTAACAGCCATTCACTCTTATGAAGGCCAGTAAAGTTGGTCAAAATAGGTGAAGGACGAAAAAAACATACTGTTCTGCTCTTCATTTTTGGTACTGGATTTATTCATTTATGAAGAGAAGGTCTTTAAGTAAATGCTTGTGATATGTTATATGTATGGTAAGATGTAGTAACTCTTTACATGTCCCATAATATTATTATAAGGTAACAACTCATGGATCTAAATATATTTCCATTGTATTTTTATGACCCATTTTAGGTAAACCTTATTATCACAAGCGACCATGGGATGGTAGATGTCAACAACTCCCATCTTATCCAGCTGGATTATTACATTCCATCAGACTGATATACACTCATCACTGATCCAAACAGGGCAGGCCATGCTTCAGATGTGTTTTTTCATATCCTACCTTAAGAAAGGAAAGTTGAATGACACTTACCAAAGGCTCAAGACTGTTCCACATCTACATACATACCTTAATTAAAGAAGAAATACCTGAAGAGTTTCATTACTGGCATAACCGACGTGTCATGCCGATTTTCATTGTCACAGAAGAAGGATGGACCAGTACAAAAAACAACTTGAAAATTGACAGTGGTGGTAACCATAGCCTGCGTGGCAGGCGCAAAAAGCGAAGGGGGAGGGGGGAGGGAGAAAGGAAAAAGGGAAGGGAGCGCCTGCTCTAAGAGCCTATGTTTTTGCATAACGCCTACCAATTTTCTAGTAATCTGATTACGCTTACTGTCAATCAAGTGTCGCTACACTCGCCAGTGCAGAAAAACATTACACTCACAGACTAAAGAAATTCGCTTAGTTATTCAGATCCAGAAGGCACTTTCAAGAAAATTGGAACCCTTATTCAGCCGTAATAAAAAAAGCTTTACGCTTCAAAAGAGGTCAAAGAAATTGCGCTTGCATCAGAGGGCAAATCCTGCTGACCAGAAAACAATAACTACAGTCAATCGATATGTATCTCATGACCTCTCAGTGTGAAACATGCGGCTAAAATAACATTTGCTCAGTATAAATGCAGAACCTTCCAGAGCATAATCTACCCAGCAGATAAAAACAGCTTTATTGGAATAAGCAGCATTTTGGCATGAGGTAAAACCACCCTCTTTTATTGCTAAGTTACATCAGCCAATGTCATCATTCGATAAATTGGCTAAATCTTTCGCTGGGTAGCCCAACAATTCCATCTCCTGCAACTGGTCTTCGATAATACTTTTCAGTGGCTAAATGACGAGAATCGCGGCATTGCCATTTAGCACGTAGTTCTTTGCGCGTACAAACATTTGGTAAATTAAACTCTTGCTGTATCCGGTCCGCAAAACCGCCAGAACATCTCTGTCGGCTAAAAGAGCCCTTACTGCTGATTCTTGCTCTGGTTTTAAAACAGTTTCTCTACCACTAGATAAATTCATTCACATCTCTGCACTCTCTACGACAACCACGTCTACCGCTGCCATCTCGACTGTTTGTTGATTAATGAAACGCGCATTTCAATATGTTACTCATTACGGCTCAGCCAATCAGGAATTTGTGGACGACAGCGTCCGCAGATATGAACAAAAGGGGGTTCTTAGAGCAGGCGTCCCCTCCCCCTCTCCCCAATCCCCCTCCCCTTTTTCCCTTCCTCCCTATCCCCTACCCCTACCCCTTTCGACGCCTGCTACGCAGGCTATGGTAACCATGGCTACAGTAACCAATTCCCTGATATGCACCCCTTTTTTCTTGCCCAAGGACCTGCATTCAAAGAAGGCTTTGTTTCAGAACCATTTGAAAATGTGAATATATACTCTCTTACGTGTCATTTACTGGGCATTGAACCAATGCCAAACAATGGCTCATTACAAGCAGTGCAGCATCTGTTAAAGGAACACAAACACGATTATACAGTGTTGATAGTAGTCAGTGTAATTTCTGTTTTAGTTCTTTTGTTAATGACTTATGGTATTGTCTCATTTTGTGTCAAAAATCATTGTAGATTAAGGCAGTATGGCCATATATATGACTTAGGAACATCAGAATTGTTTGATTTGTAGACACTTCCATGTGGAGCTATACCACAGTTTTCTAGTTCATTTTGCTAATATTGCAAATATTAAATGTCCTTACTCAGAATGGAACTTAGCTTCAATGACAAAATTACTGGTAAATTACAAAAATACAGCTTAAAGTTGAACTGGATATGTCTCCTGGTCAAAAATTATAATGTTACAGACAACAAAACATTTGAAAAACTGTTCTCTTTAAGTTTTGACCTGTTATTTTAATGTCTCACTCAATTAATGATTTGGTGGCAGCTCCCCACTGTTTGAATTTTAATAGATTTCATGACCCATCTCCTTTACAATAACATAATAATAAGTTATTTGACCTGAGTGATGTCAAGTAAACCTAAATAGTATTATAATAAATTATTTATTGATTAGTTTGAAAGTAATGATAATATTGTCAATATCCCATGTTGGTCCCAAAGCTATGCTTAAAACCTCAGCCCCCAAAGGCCCCTATAGTGTTGCTTTAAAAAAAGCTACTTGGAAATCTCTTTTGTTTTTGCATAAAGATCATTAAATGCTGGGTTCCTTGTATTTCACAGGCTCCCTACAATTTTTCCACAGAGCCCCGCTCCCATCATGATAGTAAGATTTGTTAGACTATAGAAAGTTATTTTAATTTTTTTAGAGAAAATTATTTTTTTACATCTGTAAATTTTAAATCTTTTTTTCCTGAATTTTTTTTGCAGTTGTATTACAAAAATTCTTACATGATGTTGTTGTTAATTAAGTATAAAAAGTGTACAAAGTATGTACAATTTAGTAGACTCTCACCTCTAATAGGTGTATTAGTGTAATTAACTTAAAGTTAACTTGTCACCTCTTTTGCACATTTCTCATCAATGAAATCAATTTATCTGTATTTTCCTAAATATGTCTACTCTTGCATCTTTTGTCTTTACTCTTGTTTGATCGTTTATTAATGTAAGGAAGTGCTTTAATGTTTGCTTTTATAAACGACTGTTGGAGCTAATAATTTAATATATTGTAAGCTTACATATCCAATTAAATTGGGAGCAAGTATTTGTACAGTACAAAGGTATTGTGAAAACATGATTTATTGTAAAGCAATTCAATATTTTGGTTCTTTTTAGTTTATTCACTCACAGGTTGATGGGCTTTACTCAGTCCTGTTACCGTTAAGACTTATTTATTGCCTAGTTCACTAGCCTAGCTCGATTGCTAATTTTTACTTGTCAGCCAAAAGAAAAAAACATTTTACCACTTTATTATAGGACATCGAGGATCTTAAAATCACTAGAAAACACACCTTGGCTCCGGGGCATTGCTTCCACATTTCTCTTGAAACATTCTTGAGCCATGAAGCGGCGACAACAAACCACAAAGCAATGAGAAAACGCCTAAAGACCATCACACTGAACGGTGACTTCACGTTAGGATTAGAATCTGACCTTCGGGGACCCCCTTGGGCTCTGAATGGCTCTTACCAATCTTCCAAATGATCATCAGTAGGGACATATGTTTGAGGAGAAAGAAGAAAGAAAGAAAACCTTCTGACACCTTGAGTATTGAAAACAATGAATGATATCAGATCAAGTCTGAAGGATGGGGAGGGGGTTCTCTCAGACACAACACAATGAACACAACGGATCCTTTCTTACCTGTCACTCAGACTAGCCTACCTGTAGCCGTACCCTCCCCCGGAGAGACAGTGGAAGTGGAGGACCCCATTTTCTCTGCGGGAGTGGAGGAGGGGCACAGCTACTCGTAGGATAGTCGGGTATGTAAAGATTCGCTCCGTCAGAAAATTCAAAAATTGAGCAAAAATTTAACAAAATCAATAGTCAAGGAGAAATGTATCCGCAAATGATACTTAAATGTAATCTCGTACCCACATCTCCCACAGCCAAGGGAAAGGCCTAGAGATTACATTAAATGCACTATTCTTCTTTATGTAGCAAGATTTAAATCAAAAAAGGAAACGTCTGGAAAAACAGGCCTGTTCATGGGCTCCTGGCCTGTTATAAAAGATCTTATAGGATTTTGTTTTTTTACTATTTTTTCATCCCGAAATGGCCCTAGCCGACGGTTGAACAACAATAGAAACACCTCAGCCTTGGTGCAAAATCGAGGGAAGACCCCACCATCCAACGTGAACCCCCCACCCCTCCTTATTTGAGCTGAAGGAAACCACATTCTCGTCCCTGAGAGCCACCAGACCATCCTTCTCCATCCATTATGTCCCACTTTTCCATTGTTTCCTGTCAGTTTCCTCGTCTGGAAGCTTTCCAGAATACGTGCCTTGCTTCTGGGTGACCATTACCCTAGTCTCATAATTATATTTTTATTTTTCCTTTCGTCTACAGAAGTGTCAAAGTTTGTTTTTAGTTGCAAGGTTCAGCAGGCTCTAGAGGAGTTCATTCTTTTTTCTTTAGAACTCGTTAGGAAAAACTATGAGAAACGGAGCGTGGAATGAGGCGGGGTCCGGACGGGATGGGATGAGCAGATCAATGGGACGAATCTTTTCTCTTAAAAAACGATGAAAGAAGAATGGAAGTCAGGGACTATTTACATGTTGATCTATGATCATTGATGGCTATCTAACAGACTGAAATCAATTAAACAAGCCTCCTATATTATGAAATCAAACGTACATGCAGTTCGAAAGTAAAAAAATAATGCGCAACGTTTAACGTTTGCTTTATTGATTTTAGACACTACAACCGATACTACACAATAGCTGAGCATTTTTTACTCTCTTTTTACCTTCACAAAAGCCTTTCTCTATGTATAAAATAGGGATGGCGAAAGAATCATCTCCATCAAACCTTTTGGCAAAGGAGAATTATAGCTCCCCGGCAAGCACCACTCCGTAGAGGCGGAAGCGCGCTTTCACCTCCTTCATCGGAACATAAACTGACAAGTGCCGATGTTTTTAAAATGACGTGACATTTTATATGTAAGAAAACCTTTCGCCACCCCCTTCACAATTTACAGCTATACACTATGACTACATTGCGGAATATAAGTCTTCACCAAAAAAATAACGGGAAACTTCCACCACTGTCTCTGATACCCTACACTCCCTACACAAACCTCCGGCCTAGCTTCTACGAGGAACAAACAATTATCAGCTTCCGTAACTACGCGGTATCAGTTTCAAATCGATGCGATATAAGTATGATTGCAAACCAATGTTACACATTTTGATGCATATATTAACATCATAATCATTGCTGCCACGCTAAAATAACGATAAAGGTGATTTTCTAGTGATACGGCATCTCAAAGAAATAGACTATGCAGTAAAATCTTTCGGCTCGGACTAAAACGGTGATTTTTCCTTACACGGTAAAGTACGGGCAAACATTATCAAGGCTCTTATAGCAATAATGCTGCAAAGATATATTTATTGCTGCTATTTGCATGTGCAGCATTGAACTCTAGCGATATTTGGGACCCATAATAACCGCTCCCTGCTCATGTAGAAAAGTCTCATTCTCCAGTGCACCCACCAAAGCGTCAACGAGTCACGAAATTTTCTTCTCAATTTTTTTTTCTATAAAACATATGTATCAAACAGACACCTCTTTTGAACAAACATCGTGTGAGGGTCCCTTAAGCCCTAATATCAAAATTTATAATCTCATTTGTTGTTCCTAAACATTTCAGTCCTATGGATGAAGTGGGGACAAGAAGTTGTCAAACTGTGTTAAAGAATTGAACTTGTTTCATCTTGTTACCACACTGTTTTCTGACGCTTTGACAGTAGAAGGAGAATTTTGTTGCTAATCACCCTCAGCGCTTTTGAAAAGGGTTTAGATATAGGTTTGTGTTAAATTGTCATTATTAAAGAAGTGTAACGGTAGAATGGTAAAAAAATAATAATAATAGTAAACTTATCTAAGACCTAACGCGAAGTTAAGAGCTATATATTTCAATGCACTAACATTTCTTTATAGAAATTACTGCAATAACTGAATAATTGAAGCTCGCTCTTGCGGTTTTTCTATTTTGGCTGTATTTTGATTTAGAAAGAGTCAAAATCATTTTATGGAGTTTTTACATCCTAGACGTTGTGCTTTCTTATAAAAAAAAGTGTTTAGATGTTTTTATAG